CACAGTTCATGCAATTAAAAAAATGAGGTGTCAAATGAAAAAGCTTGACCTTCAGATTTGCAGTAAGGTTTTATTCTTCGAAGAGGGCTACAACCTATGCAAAAAATGTGGGCTGTTCGTTAGATTACAGATGCGCATTTATATATTAGTTTTTTAGTAGGGTTGCAATCTGTTTAGTTGTCAATCGCATCTTATTTAATATCTACCACATTTAGCGCGTGGCGAAGCCTCGAGCATACGAGGCCGGCTAGTATTAAATAAACAAAAGAAAAATAGGAGCAATTTGGTAAAATTTCGTGTCTTTATTTATTTTTCCACCACTGTTTATGAGCCATTTTTACCGTTATATATTTCTTGTCTACATATGTGTGGTTTTATAAAGCTCTTAATAAAAAAGGTACATATGTGTGGTTTTATAAAGCTCTTAATAAAAAAGGTATATAAAAAAATAGGTTTATAAGGCTCTGTGTGTATACATATTTTTATAGGACTTTTTTCATTGTGTTTCATGATTAGAAGAAAATCTTCTACAAATTTAAGCTTTTAGATCTCTATAAGTTTTCTTCATTCAGAATCAGCATTAAGCAAATTTATACACATCTATAAATTTTAATTCTTAGATAAATTACGCATTCTCTTTTGTCTTCATAAAGGTCATAAATACTATTCAGTCATACCATTTCGTATTTTGCTAGATAAGAAAAAATCCTTTGTTTTAGAAGTTATATACATATACAGTTTTCTGTGTAGATTTACTGCTCTTCCTCTTCGAATTTGGATTCCTCTTCACAAAGATCATGAATACCATTCCAGACTTTAGTAGATAACCAAGGTCTGCGATGGTATCTCCCTTCATTCCCACGACAGCCGGGTCTACGTAACCGGAACGACCCAGATTTATATTTGGCCAAGGACTGTCACTCCAGCAACACTACCCAAAAACTCTTTGGGGAACTTGTATGCTGCTACAACAACAACAACAACAACATGGTATCTCCCTTAAAAAACGAATTATAAATTAGGGTAGGTATTAGTACTAAGCTACGAAAAAAATGTATAAAAAGTTCCATCACGTAAATTTTCCGAGAAAATTGGTTTTTAATTTCCTTTAATATTACAGCATATTTCTAGCATTAACTTCGAATTTCCATAAATCTTTCTGATTTACTGAGGGTTTTGTACATATTTGCTCAATTCATAAAGGAAAAATTTAAAAACGACAAATCAGAAGGATAAAATGGTATTGTGTTATTAAAAAAAAGTAAAAAACAAAGTATTGGTTTATTGACGAAAGGGGCGATCTATCCCCCCAATACCTCCCTCTGGCTACGCCACTGTACAAAACTGTGATTTTTTTACCTAAACGTCCTAATAAGAAATTTAAGCGGGTTATCCACACTTCCATCTCTTGTCTTGTCACGTTTAAAACCTAAATTTAAACAGCAAACATTCGCTGGAAAAATGTTGGCATTTCTTTTATAAACAAATGATGAAACTAAAATAATACATACTTACATATGCACATATCGCTCGTTTGCTGGAAGACCGTCTTAATAATATACCTTATATGGAAGGAAATGCGAAGAACCACCGGAAAAATAATTAAAAATCAACGCGAATTCTTAAACTGATATGAAATAAAGACATTTACATATATTTCTTTGCTCAAAAACACAAATTTATTTTTATTCGGACTAAAGCAAGACTACAAAACTAGTTTGTCAGCATATTTTAGTCAACGGTAATAATATCCCGGGATCCCGGGATTACCAATTTAAGATCGCGAAATGTCGGAATTCACAAAATGGGCAGGGATTTGATGTCGTAATTGATACAGATTATACTTAATAAATTTCGTCGAAATACGTTCAGTAGTTTTGTAGATTAGCGTGGTCAAAATAACTCAACTTTCCTTTATACTATGTATAGAAGATAGTAATTTTTTAATAGCTTTTCTACATGCGAAGATCATTTGGTAACTAATTTATTAATCCAACGAACGGCGAAAATCGTTTAACTTTTTAATAGGTGGCAATCCTACTCAGAAAAATAATACATTATTGCACATGTAGAGGCTAAGTCTTGAGTTGAGTTATTATGAATATAGTAATTTTACTAAGAGGTGGTAACCCTATGCAAACAAATAAAACAGTAGTGCTTTTCTATAGGCGAATCCCTTTCCTTTGACACCTCATCTTTTGTAATCCAACCAACGGTGCGGATCTTGTAGTTTTTTAGTCAGGTCGCAACCCTATTAAAATTCTGGATAAAAAAGATCACTCTCCTATCGATACAGAGCATAATGGAGAAAATCTCGCCAAAATGCGTTCGACTTTATATTATATATGGATGTTTAGAAAAATTTCAAGAATGCAGTTTTGTAGCGCATTAAATTTTCTTATAATTTTTGCGCATTTTCTTCCATATAACAATAATAATAAAAGTTAAAAAAATCAACGGTAGTTTTTAGCGACTTGAAACTTGTACTTTGTTGCACTAAAATTAAATGGACTGCAAAACTGCATACTCGAAATTTTTTCTAAAAATTTTGAAAAGTTTGAAATTTTGGTGAACATTTATGGAATTTATGTGAGTTTGTATAAAGTGTGAAACCTTGATTTTAATGGTTTATGTTATAGCACGAACTATATTTTACAAATTTCAACCCGATCAAATATTATAAACTTATCTTAAAGGTGTATGCTTGTTTTTGTTTAATTTTTGAGTTATGACGGCTTTTCAGATAACAAGCGATGTATGTACATATGTATAACCAGATAATACTTAAAAAGTAAGTAATAAAAAGAGAAATAAATTGGGCAATTGCACAAAAATATCTCGATGTCAGTAGCTCGGTTTCGTTGGTAAAGCATATGAATCACGGCTGCTGTGCCATGTGTCCATAATTTCATACGCAGTTTTGTGCACGAAAATACACTTGATTGTGTGCATACTTATTTACCAGCGAGGACAATTGGATCGATTTGACCAAACATATGTACATACATACATATGTACGAAGGCAGTCCCAGAAGTACCCAACGTGACAAAGAAGCCAATAAAATAATTTCGAATATACATAGTTCTTGCTCCTTATTCTTTTCACAACGATGCACAATAGCTTCGATACCTTCCTTATAGTATGTACCGTCTAGCTATTAAAGGCACACTCTACCTCTTCGTTGTTGGCAAATCTTTTGCCACCTCGCCATATTTTGCAGGATTGCGAGAGGAAGCTAATCGAAGTTCTGCAAAACATTGCCAAACACTCTATGGAAACATCCTCATGACGGTGTTTGCGCACAGCTTTTTATGTCTAAATTTTCTGTGAACATGCGATGCACAGCATTTTTTGATATTCCTACCATGTCTGCTATCTCGCGTACTGTCAATCGCCGGTGATTCAGCACGATTTTGTTCACTTTTTTTGGGGTAGTACCCTCACTGCTGGGTTCATCTTTGCAGCTCTTACAACCTCGCTTAAACTCCGCTCCCATTATTTAACCGTTTAAACGAAAGACAGAGTAAAATCAACTCGGATTTTATATCGGTCGAACTTAGACCTTTCAGATGAAGGCATTGTATCACGTAATATGACTACTGTAAATAATAATACTATTTAGCGTAGCGGTATCAAATTTATAATTTAAATTGTTGAAATGGTATTATCGATCGCTGTATATTACTATATTTATAAGTCAAGTGGGGTACTTTTCGGACTGCCCTCATATGTCTGTTGTGTTAATTGAATTACATATTTACTTTATTAAAACTATAAAAGAAAAATAATTGTTTGCTGTAAAAATTTATTACTCATTTTTCTTTTCGAAATGTATTTAGTTCACAAAATGAACACACTATCTTAATTTGTTTGTCTTGCAGCAATATTTTAATATGTGCTTTATTTGTTTTTAAATTTATTCTTGGATATGTAATTTCCCTTACTTTTCTTTCTACTTGCATTCAAGTTCAAAATAAAATTGATAAACCACAATTTAGAATGTAAGCAAATTACAAATTTGCTGGAACAGTCCAAGAGCCGCCTAATCAGATGTTTTCATTGTCAATGCTGCTGTGCCATATACCAGCACGGGCATGATGAGTGACTTATAGAGTGCGATTTTTGTGCGATNCGTATGAAGAATTTAATTGTATAGCCCACCTTAACTGAGTATCTGATTCATAATCCTTTCAGGTTCACTTATTAAGCAGTGTTTCTTTAATGGTTCACGTAAATTTGTCAGGGGTGGTTGCATGTTGTGGGTATCAAATTTCAAAATAAATTATGTGTCATTTCAACCCCATTTTCAGCTATCGTAGCTATTAAGTTTTCGAATAAAAAACCGCTGAGTCATCATACATCATACTCTTATTACTGTACTTGCACAGATGTTTATACGTATACATAAGTATATGCATGTTTTTTGCATATACAGTATTGGCCATATCTAAAGCATTCGCATTTCAAAGTGATATTGTTTGCCACTTATGTTTAATTATTAATTTTTAAGAATTTCCATTTAAAATACAGTTCTTTCTTAAACTTTGTAAAAGACTACAAAAAATGCAAAAAAAATTTCACTCAAATTTCAAACTTCTCTCAGAAGTGGTAGAATTTTTTTGAGTGCCCATTCAATTTTAATCTAATAATGTGCAAGTTTCAAGTGGCTAAAAATTACTGTTGATTTTTTAGAGTTTTTTTTTGGTCGCATTTGCTTCCATATAACGAATATACACAATTTATTTTTATATGGAAGAAACCCGCAACACTTTCGGCGAAATAAATTCTAAAAAACCAACGGTAGGTTTTAGCCACTTGAAACATGCACATTATCAGACTAATATTGAATGGGGTATAAAATTGTGTACTAAAAAAAATTCTAACTGAAAAAAATGCCTGAAATTTGTGTAAAATTTGTTTGCAGTTGTTTGTAGTTTTCTACAATGTTTTAAACTTGGGTGCATATCATGATTCAATAATTAAAGGTTTGCTCCTTAGTAACATTCGAGTTTTGACACTCCCTTAACTCCCTTGCAAAATCTTTGCACACACACGAACCCACACAAAGTACCTTGCTAAGGTAGCCGATTTTGTCTAGAAATATTTTAAATGTAAATTCCCTAAAATAAATAAATAAACATGCGTGGCAAGCAATATCCCTCTGAAATTGGGGTGCTAATGTATTGGCCAATACTGTACATATGTGCATACAAAAAAGTCAAATGAGGCTAATGACCACAAAACGAAAAATTTAGGAAGGGCAGGAACAAAGAAATTACATATTAAGTTTTTGTTGTTTTATGCATAAGTGTAGAGAACATTTTAACGTTATCAAATCTTGAATTCGTTGACATAAAAACTATTTCGGGGTTTTTTTGGCAAGTTTAATGATTATAGCAACACATCAAATACATAGGTACTTTTATTTTTATCACGGGACACAAAAAAATACTATACGGCATATTTGATTTAACAAAATCGCGCTTAACAAGCGACAGTTTGTTGACCTTGACTTGATTTCTTATGGCCTTACGAACGATCAAGTGGTATTTGTGTACAGGGTGGGCCAATTAAGACCTACCTATGTTAAACACGTATAACTTCTTTATTTTTTTAATATTATTGTTAATTTCTTTCTGCATGCAGGGACCACCAACAACGACTGCATTTTCTACGACTACATCAATTCGTTTTACACATTAAGCCACAGAAATTAATTTTTTAGGTAATGTATGGTAGGTCTAATTTGGCCCACCCTGTACATATATATGTCTATACACATACTAATAAGTATGCCCAGTGGGAATTAGGACCACGTAATAATACCTTATTAGCAACTTACTCTTCACCTGGCAGTCATTACCATTTCCCTGCCGAACGTCCCTTACTTTTACAAAGGCATGGCCGCCTTATGTAAGTAGGAATTTAGAATGTACATTTGGTGTCAGACATACTTCTGAGCCGCTTTACAAAGTAAGTTACGTGTAATGCAGAGCAGTCGCTCGGAGTAGTTCGGTGCTTGGAAATAACTTCGGTTGCACGTTATTTTGCAACTGACAACGTAATGTGTCTTCGGAGGTGTTCATTTTGCCCTTTACTAGTAGATGACATTGGCCATGATAGCAATTTTGGTACTAAAAACTGAAAGAAAACATGGCTTACCTCGCAAGGTGCTTACCTATTTTCCCAGTGGGTGTGTACTTGCACCACATTTGTATATATTCGTAGTAATATTAATGTTTTCCACTTAAGGTGCGTTGAGTGAGTTTTGTGGTTATTTTTGACTTTCTGGAAGTTATTTTTAAATGTACAATATTTTATACAATTATTTTCTTCATTTGCTATTAAATATTACTTCCATAATCGCGGCGCAAAGCGAACGAAGGAATGTGCATTCCCAACGCTACGCCAGAGTGAATCTGTGCTGCAGTGTATACAACCACTTACATGTGTATACATATATTTACATACATAAATTATAAGTAATATTAATCTCGCGTGCACACTCGTTGCATACATCTGTGTGTGCATACAGTGACGTGCAAAACTGTATCATGACGTAACACTTTTTATTTCAGGAACCACTATCTTTTACAAGTTTTAATGACTTACAGGTTGTTGTTACATATATATATATATATATTTTTTTTTTGGTACGCATCTAACAACAATAAAACTAGCAGACAAAAATGTAAATTAAGGCAAATGGCTCAGTTTTGCACTCATAAATTTTTAATAACTTTTTGACAATTTTCAGGGAAAAAAGAATTATTACCGCAGTGTTCAGTAACCTTTTGCTATTTTTAGTTCCTGTGGGGCTATTCTGTAATGATATGCTGTGACGATTGCCTATGCATTGCTCTTTCGCATCGCATTACAGAGTAGCCCCCTGGATGCAATTTGGTGTACTGGATGGATGTGTTTACATGTACAAATTCTGGAGGTATACCCACCCATACTTCCTTAGTATGCTTCCACAGCTCTTTTACTTATTCCATTAGGAGGACTTGGATACTTAGTAAGCTAGAATTTTCAATTGTCAAGGTCATTTCCAATTAGCAAGTTTTTGCTTTTGCATCCAGTCTCGGCCAAATTTTTCAGTAGCAACTCCTATTGTTTCGACTACCCCTTGCATATTTTGTTGAAGATGGGACAGATATTGTTCCTTACGCATAATTCATACTAGCGGACCTACATAATTTTTGAAATACAACCCCAAATCATTATTGACCCACCACCATGGTTCACAGTTTGCCTTACATAATGCGTTTGGGCTTCATTTGGGGCGTTAGTCCAATACCATGCCTGGCTATCGGATTGAAGTCGATTAGTTTTAGTCTTGTCAGACCAAATAACCTGAAATTCAAATTAAAAAATTTGCTTTGTAGGGCATTCTTAAAGGCCTACCACATCCTAATCGGAAACGGTCCGGTTTTTGTGCGCTTCTACAAAATCCTGCCTTACGCGCACATGTACATACACATGTACATATGTATTTTGATCACAATTGCTTTTTTCTTCTTTTCTGCTGCCTTTTGCTCCCAATTTGGCTATATATTTTTTTTTAGTCTAAGACATATTTTTAGACTAGCTTTGTTATTGTTGTTGGTTTGACTTTAAATCGCCTGTAAGTCATTAGAATTTGGAAAGATTTGGTAAAATAAGTGTTATATTATGTTGTGGTTTTGCGCGGCACTGTACATATGTACTTACATATGAACTTACGCAAGTATGTGTTTCTGTGTTAAGCACGGTTGCCAACCTACCACCACTGCCCGTCACTCACTCAGTCAGTCAGTAAGTAATGCGGCGTTGTAAAATTGTTAACATTCAAGAGATTTCTTGTTTTCGATTTTTAAATCGCCACACCATGGCGCTGTCGATTTCGTTGTTAGTATTAAAGTTGCTGCTTTTATTTGCATTAAATTATGTATTGTTTTTGTTGCTGCCACTGCATTTTTTCGTTCATTTTCCTAGTTTGGTTGATTTTTTTTTTGGTTTTGTTGCTTTTGGCCTTCGCTGCTGTTCCAGGTGACCGGTTGGTGCCTCAACCGCCAACCGTTGGTGGGTCGTTCGGTTTTCTGTTGTCGTAATGTTGTTGCTGTTGTTGCAGACAATGCAGCTTTTAAACTTTTTCCGCTCCCCCTCTCACACCCCTTACCACTTGTAATGAGTAGCTTTGCCNTTTTTCGTTCATTTTCCTAGTTTGGTTGATTTTTTTTTTGGTTTTGTTGCTTTTGGCCTTCGCTGCTGTTCCAGGTGACCGGTTGGTGCCTCAACCGCCAACCGTTGGTGGGTCGTTCGGTTTTCTGTTGTCGTAATGTTGTTGCTGTTGTTGCAGACAATGCAGCTTTTAAACTTTTTCCGCTCCCCCTCTCACACCCCTTACCACTTGTAATGAGTAGCTTTGCCGTTCTTTCCTGCTTGCACTGTCATTGTTGCCATTAGAGATGGGAACGGGGCAAAAATTTCAACCCTACCCCACCCATCCCGAAATTCAATTTTTAAGTTCCGAACCCAACCATCCCGGCGTTTTCCTGGATTGTACCGCGGGTCCGTGGGTCCCGAAATCTATCACTAAGATTAATTCCCATGTCTTTCAAATTATTTTACAATAATAAAAAATCTGGCATCTTCCGGTTATTTTTTTTCTGTCTTGCTTTTTGTTTTCGTGTAAATAAAGCATAAAAAAGTTATTAGTTTATAAAACGTTTTTAAGTAAGATTTGCTGAATTTGCGGGTTTTATCGGGAGTGTCGGGAAAGGATTCTAATTCGGTCCCGCCCGCAAAGGTTTTAAAGACCTTCCCGATACCGCCCATCCCGGCCATTTTGAAATCAGTACCGTGGGTCCCGCGGGTCCCGATATTCCGCGCCCATCTCTAGTTGCCATTGCCATGCCTTGGCTTTGTTGGTGTGGTGATCTTGTTGCTGTTTCAACACATTAGTCTAGTCGGGTTGTTAATGTTTCTTTAGCTGCCATCTTCGCAGTAAAGTAGTAATGCTTTTATTATTGCTGCCGTCGCCCGGCAGCCATTGTTGTTGCTCTTATTTTTGTTATTTGGGTGTGAATTATTTAGCCTCAACGTTGATTAGCATTTTGTATATATGTATGTATATACATATGCAGCTTTCGCGCATTTCATTTTGTTCCGTTTCATTTGATTTCTTCATATTTCATTTGAAGTAGTGCAAGAGTAAAAGTCGAAATTACACATTCACGCTTACGTACAAACTCGTTCATGCATACATTTATATGTAATTATGTAGTTTATGTATTAGATGCCTTGTGGCAAAACGAACTGTTCCCAAACTAGTTGGGAACTAGGACTTTCTGTAAGCTACTAGACCACTCCAAAACAAACAAAAATGCTTTCACTTCCCTAAATAGCGGGAATGAGTACAGTGATGCATGTAAGACAAGTTGAAAATAATTAGGAACGGCTCTCATATAAACGTCATCGATTTTATTTCCTGATGCTTGACCGTTTGAAAGTTTGGCCCATGGAAATATAGTCGTTTTAGTATTTATAAGTTTGCATCATAAATTCAATCGTGTACATTATTGTTCCGTTTCCTAATTGGAGATGGATTTTAGATCCTCTTCGATTCACAAAAGCGCCGATTTGCTACAGATTTTGCATGATGAAGGCGAAAATTTTTTTTTTAATAACCCATTAAATTCTAGAGTGTAAGTCTTAAGTTGCTAAAAAATCGCGTTGATATTTAATAATTTTTTTCTGACTGCATTAAAAATTTTTTCCATACAAAATAAATTCGACATTTTTTTTTGTATGAACAAAAAATGCGTCATGAAGTCAGACAAAAAAAATATTAAAAATCAACGCAATTTTTTAGCAACGTAAGACCTAAAAAATCTGAATAAAAAGTTGAAAATGTAGCTGAAACTTTGCAGATTTCTCATAATTTTTGCACAAAGTTTGAAATCTGGATTTATGTGGTGTTTGTTATATAATGAGCTAGACTTTTATGGAAAAATAATAAACATTAAATAAACAAAAGAAAATGTTGCTGGCTTAATTAGCTGATCACAAGTGTATGTACATATGTATGTAACTAACAAAGCAAAACATAACATTTGAGCAATTAGCTGTATGCTAGCTATAAGTTATCTTGATAATTTTAACCATAAACTCTCTTTTCATGACAAGTGAAACGAGTGTAAAATGTTTTTAGATGCTCAGTTAGGGATTCATAAAACGGAATTCTCAGATCTGAATAATTAAATTTATGGGAGCTAATTGTTGTGGTCATAAGGATAACTCGAAAACTATGCGACTAATTTGGGTTCAAACATATGTATATGTAGGCTGAATCGCTCAGCCCGTCATACTTATTATTTTGGTATAACATTTAATGAGCCTATCTATTCTATCTATCTCTCTTTCTTTTGCACTTATAAAGGTCGCGCCAATGTTATAAAGTCGCTTCATCTTAATAAAATTTATAATAATAATAATAATAATAGATTGGCACTTACACATATGTTTGTGTTTGGCTGAGCTTCTCTTCTCTTTTTTGCGATGTTGCTTTGACCAGGGCATGAAACCAGGTCGCTGTGGAGTGGAAGCGCGCACTGCTTACCACTACACCACAGCGACCGCTATGAATGAATTTGTCCCTACTTGACCTTCAAATGATCTCGAACCTGGCGTGATGGAGGCTAACAGACCCTACATTCGCATTCAGCGCGTCGAATAACATAGGCATATAGAAGTTTGGTTCAATCTGCAGAACCTTTTTTTGTAAACCAGTATTATTTTATTTTTCCTCATATCTATATAGCGAAACAAAAATTTGCTTAGTTCAAAGAAAGACTAACTGAACTGTGCCGCTGAGTATTGAGTGATATTTTGCTTTAAATACGTAAAAATTATGCTATCGAAGTTTTTGCAAAATATGTGAAGAAAACGAATCTTGCAGGATTTTCTTCTCCTGAAAAATTTTAAAAAGTGTACTTAACAAATTTTGACTCTAAGCTAGCGATTTTGCTTATTATTGTATATGTATTTGTAAAGTCTACAAGTGAATGCGTAAAGGCAAACTACAAGTACCCTAATCAGTTGTCAATATAACAAAACTGATAAAAACTTTGCGATAAGAAGCGATCAATTTTATTTAAAGTCCAAGGTGGTAAGGAACTAATACATATAGATACATATATATAAGTACCTAAGAAATATGTACTTTGGATTGAGTCTAATGTAGTATTATGAACACTATGTTTGTATACATATAATATCAAAATTGACGTTGAAATAGACGTATACAAGAAAAGCTGTATTTATTATCTTAATTTTTTCCATTTGTTATTTAAGTAAATTAGGGAAGCGGCTACCATAACGAAACCAGCTTGAGTGATGGTACCTATCTACATACATACACACATACATATGTAAGTACGTGCGCATAAGCCACTATGAACAACTCACACAGTCTGTGTTGTTTTCCATAAACAAAAGGGAGTTTGGTTTTCGCAAAGTGACACGAAAGATACATATTTCCTTTAAAGCACACAGTAATTCGAAACAAATAATCCTTAACATTTTTATTCTTCCTTGCTCTTTGCAAAAACGTATATTTTCAGGTCCTTTGATG